AAATCTGGGGCGGCGGAGCGTGTGGGTCGAGCCTTTTCCCGGTCTTGGCCCCTCGTGGGGAGAAACGGCGCAGTCCCTCGTGAGGGGGAGGGGCGTCCGGGGAGAGGCGAGCACGGCCGCGCGCATCCCCGGTGTCATCGCGGAAAGCACCCTGGCATGGGCTAGCGAACTGAGCAAAGTGTCACCGAACGCAGATCGAGCCGAGGACGAGTCGTTTCTGAGGGATAAACACGTGGAGGTCATCCTCGCCCTGGCTCGTTGCACTTGGTCTTGCAGAGCGCCGTGGGGGTGGGGCGGAGCGGACTCCACGTAACTGACAGTAGCAAGAGGAGTTACTGCTCTTGTCTCCATCGAACTGGGCCCTGGTGATGGGGCCATGAACAATTAGTTGTAGTCCCTGAACTCAGTTTCTAGTGGGAGAGGTGCGACCCCAGAAGTAAACAGCCAAACGAGAGACTCACAAGGTGGTTCTTGTGACAAAACAAATAAAGAGAGGAAGCTGGCGAACCCAAACGGACGCTCCTTTTAGGCGGTGTTGTTTTGGAAAGCCTCTCCGAGGCGTTCCGGCTGAAGCAGAAATGTGAAAGAGCAAACCTAACCTTGGATGGATTCTGGCGCATGCGAATGCTTAGTGATCCAGCCTGTCAGGGGACTCTCCAAAGTGCCAAGACCCGTTGGTTGGGGCGGGGATGGAGGAGGCTTGTACATTTTGGTACGTTTACCACCACCCCTGAGTTCTCCCTGATGGATGCCAGAAGCACCCACCAACCAAAAATGTCTGTAGGCATTGTTAAATTTCACCCCTCACCCAGAACCAAAAGTCACCTTGGTTGAAAACCACTCATCTCCTTAATTTTTAAAAGCGAAAGTTCGGCGACACAGGGCTTTGGAGGACACAGGGCTTTACTGAAGACATCATCCTGAGACCCTGGAGACCCGTCTTTCTGTGCTCAGGAAGTAGCATCAGCCTGCTCTGAAATAGGCAATAAGTGAATGTCCGCAGGAAATTGAGAGACCGGCCTTTCTGAGACTAGAATTATTCGTGGTCACACTCCTGAAGAGGCTCTAGATTTCTCTTTAGAGCTGGTTCTGTCCTTAGAGGCCCTTGCTGCCCTGCTCAAGGTAGAGCTTGTTTGGGAAGGGCATGATTGGTCAGTATTTTAGGATGAAGTCCAAGGCACTGCTACTCTTGCTTGGGATATAGAGATGTGAGTGTGAGATGATATCACATCATAGTACCACAGGCATCCAGATGGTTGTACAAAATCTGCCCCTTGGAGCAGGTAGAGATTAGACCTTTTGTCTTCACTGCCCACTTAGCATCTGGTTTATGCTTTGATTGTAGTAGAGGTTTTCTGTCACTTGGATGAATGAGTGTGGACAGGGAGGGCCTGTGTGGCCCACCGCATACAATCCTACTTTCAAGGGCACAAAAACTGGTTGTGAGGGAGGGCATATCATGTATTACAACGACTTAAGACCTTCTAAAGGCCCATGCTACTTAAATACGTGGTTACTCTGTGGTATTAAAATTACATGGGGCTGAGGGACCGGGGAATAAGAAAGCCGCCCGTTGTGCCCCATCAAGTCAATCCAACTGCAGATCTTCACGGGAGCAGACAGCCTTCTATTTCTTCCGAGGAGTGGCTGGTGAGCTTGAACTGCCAACCTTGCAGTCCAAAGCTGTTAGCAGTCCAAGGTGTATCTGACAGCACCACCAGGGCTCTAGAGCAGCAGTTCTCAACCTGTGGCTTGCATCCCTTTTGGGGGTCGAACGACCCTTTCACAGGGGTCACCCGATTCATAACAGTAGCAAAATGACAGTTATGAAGTAGCAACGAAAATAATTTTATGGTTGGGGGGTCACCACAACATGAGGAATTGTATTAAAGGGTCACGGCATTAGGAAGGTTGAGCACCACTGACTCCTAGAGACCCGTGTGGATTTCTGAGACTGTAACTGTTGACTAGAGTAGAAAGCCCAGTCTTTTTCTTGCGCCATGGCTGGTGGTTTTGAACTACTGACCATGGGGATTGCAGCCCAACACATAACCACAAAGTTGAGAAATACTGCCTTTGTACTTAGGAGCTTAGACTCTGGAGTCAAGCTGGTTTGAATACTGGCATCAGCACTGAAGAAGTGATGTGATTTGGACACGCTATTGAACTTTGCAGAGCCTCTCATAAGGATCCTTGGTGTCACAAGAGTTAAACATTCAGCTGTGAACTGAAAGGGCACCAGTTCAAACCCAGCAGCCACTCCGAGGGAGAAAGACCAAGCGAGCTACTCCTGTAAAGATTACTGCTCTTCTGTTGGGTTGCTACGAGTTGGATTCAAATCAGTGACAGTGGGTTTGGATCTGGGTTTTGAACCCTCTTTCCCCCTGTATGAAAGGGAAGGGTTGGGTGCCTTAACATGGCATTCACCCCACAGGGCTTTGGAGAGTAAGTGAAGTAATGTATGGAAACAGCTCATCATAAGAGCCAAAGCTCAGAGAGAGCTAATAGTAAGTGCTAGGCCCAGCACCTGATACATAGCCACCCCTCAGTCCCCGCCTCATGCTCTCCGGATGTGTATGTCCTCTAAACTCAACTTCGAGTCAGTGCAGCCTGCCTGTGTCTCTCTCTCTCTCTCTCTCTCTCTCTGGGTTCTCTCTCTCTCTCTCTTTCTCTCTCTCTCTGTGGGCTCTCTCCCAACTCAGCACTTCCCGTCCCAGCCATTTTCCAGTCCTTTTCTGGAGTATTTGTTGCCTCTGAAACAAGGCATGCCCAGAGCTTGAATGTCAAATGTCGGTCATTGAAGTTTTGACTAATAAAGATTTGTTTTCTTCCTCCCCAAGTATGAACGAGGCTCTGCCACCAACTACATCACTCGAAACAAAGCCCGGAAGAAGCTGCAGCTGAGCCTGGCTGACTTCAGGTGAGGTCAAGAGGACTGCAAGGGAACCTCCATCCGGGTGCCTGGGCGGGAAATGCCCAGTGCAAACAACCTCGTTCTTGTGCATTGCACCTGGCTGGGCATTCTACTGTCACCCTCTTTCTCCTCCAGCTGACTTGGCCAGGCCTGGTCTGATGGGAAGCTGGAGAACTGGGTGATGATGCATCCATCCCTCAGGTCATCAGAGGAGGGGTCATTTGGCTGGGGTGTGCCACCCATCTCCCTGCAGAAGTGTCCTCAGAGAACCAATTCCTGACTCCCTTCATGGCTTGCAGGCCCTGCAGACCACCTGTGATATCTCCAGCCTCCTCTGGCTGTGTCCCAGCCAGCCACCTAGCCTAGCTTCAGCCCCTCAGCCATGCCCAGTACGGGGCCCCTCTCAGGATGTTCTTCCTTCTCTTTTTAAAACCTCTTCATTTTAGCTTATAAAAACAATGTTATAGTCTCCCGGTTCTGGATGCCAGACTTCTGAATCAAAGGGTCTACCATGTTAAGTCTCTCTGGCACCTGTCTGCCGATCCCTCTCTGTGTGTCCTTTCTGTGCCAGGACAGCTGGCATTCTACCTATGTGTTCTATTAGTTCTCTTCTCCGGGTGCTGCCCTCAGAGCCCTAAGGAGGACCAGCCCCATGCCTCGCTTACAGCTTCTGGAGACTTCTAGCCATCTCTGGCATTCCTTAACTACTAGCTAGCCTCTTCACATCATGATCTGCCCTCTGTTTCTTTGTCATACGCGATTAGGGCTCTAGCATGATGGCAAGTTAATATGTACAAAGGTTCTATTAAAAAAAAACCCCAAAAAGTCAAACAAAGGCCTGGAGTCCAACATACCTTTTGGGGGAACCCAATTCAATCTGTATTAAAGGGTGATAGGTAGAAATAAGCCAGCCAATCGGTGTTCTCCCTTCTACATTGTCCATGTCTGACACCCCCTCTTCATTGTTGCTATTAGGTGTCAAATCTGTTCCAGAGTGAAACACTGCCCCGCCCTGCACCATCCTCACCATTATTAGGTTTGAGCCCGCTGGGTCCATCCATCTTGTCCAGGGTTTCTCTTTTTTGCTGACCCCCTACTTTACCAAGCACAGTATTCTCCAGGGATTGGCCCTTCCTGAGAAGCTGCTCAAAGTAAATGGGATGGGCCTCACCGCCCTCACTTCTCGGGCGCATTCTATTCCTCCAAGACAGATTGGCTTGTTGTTCTATCCGTCATTCTCCTCAGGTCTTCTGAAATGTCCCTTCCACAGCTGGGTACTTCCTGACGCCCCTAGTGAAGAGGGCACCTGCCTCCCTGTCCCTCTGTCCAGTGTGACCTTTCTGATGCTGTGCCGCAGCGTCAGTGTGTTGTTTACTGACCTCCATGAATGTTCTGTCTTCCAGGCGGCTGTGCATCCTGAAGGGCATTTATCCTCATGAGCCCAAACACAAGAAGAAGGTTAACAAGGGTTCCACGGCCGCCCGCACCTTCTACCTCATCAAAGACATCAGATTCCTCCTCCACGAGCCCATTGTCAACAAGTTCCGGGAATACAAGGTGGGGTGTGGCCTCCAGGCTGGCCCCAGCCAGCCCGGGGACCCCCTGATGGTGACTTTAGGCAGATTACTTAGTCCCTCTGAGTGAGCCTGGGCAGACAGGAAGAACATCCCGCTGCAGGAAGGCTGTCGTGAGGAACCTCTGGCCATCTGTGTGGAAGCCGTTGCCTGGCCCTTGGTGGCTGGCTGATTGTCCTTTGCTGCTTTCCCTGGGTTGGTTGGGGAAAGTTTGGCCTCTGAAGCCCAGACGGTAAAATTTCAGAAGGTAAAATTTCAGAAGCTCCGTGTACTCCTTGCCAAGAGGAACTGCTCCTACCATGAACCTTTCTGACATTGCTCTTAGGAGGCCAAGCCTTTCTTTCCAGAAATAGAAGCCATTAGATGCTAAAGCCCCACTTGGGAAAGCAGAAAACCTATTAATGCGAAACGCAAATCTTTGAAAGTGGAGCAAATCTTTGAAAGTGGACCGCCTGCCACTGGCCAGGTGCGCACTGGAGGCGTTGGGCGCCACCTAGTGGCCCTCAGGCTGGCCAGGCAGAGTGTATTTTGCTTTGGGTTTTGCGGCTGTTAACTCACCAAGTTGGAAGCTTTCCAGCTCTGCTGCTAGAAGTACTGGGAAGAAAAATGTCGGTCTGTTTGGGGGCCCTCTGGCCTCAGCTGCACTGACCCGTGTGACCCAGCCCCTCACACCACAGCTTGTTTGTGGCTGGACCCCTGACCTTGTCTTTCCTCATAGACTAGCTTGTATTCTCAGATGTAAAGCTGGGCAGTGTGGCCTCCCTTTGTCACACGTGGGTGGGGGTGGGGGTGTATCTGTGAGTGGCTCTGAGGGGCTCATTGATCTAACAGTCCATCCTGCTGCTCCTTGGGGCTGCCGCTTGTGTGGGTCTGGGTGGAGGGTGCTCGTTGGTCCAGGACATGGAGAGTCGTCCTGCCCCGGAGTTCCATCCTCCGTGCCAGAATGGTGCCCACGAGTCCCATGGCCCTGCTATCGGGGGCTCTTCCTCTTGCCCAGGTGTTTGTCCGGAAGCTCCGGAAGGCCTATGGGAAGAGCGAGTGGAACACCGTGGAGCGCCTGAAGGACAATAAGCCCAACTACAAGCTTGACCACATCATTAAGGAGCGGTGAGCCCACGCACTGCCTGGCCCTGTCCTAGAGCCTGGCCAGTGGCAAGGCCTTGCTCAAATAGGGATCTTTGGGGTAGCTGGTGGGTGGCCCGGCTGTGAGCACAGGCCTCACTGTGCAGGTACCCCACCTTTATCGATGCCCTGAGGGACCTGGACGACGCCCTGTCCATGTGCTTCCTCTTCTCCACCTTCCCCCGAACGGGCAAGTGCCACGTGCAGACCATCCAGCTGTGCCGCCGGCTCTCGGTGGAATTCCTGCACTACGTCATCGCTGCGCGTGCCCTGCGCAAGGTGAGCCCATGCTCTGGGTGGGGTCTCCTGGTCCCTCTGGCCTGGCTGCCTTGGTCTTCACTCAGCCTTCTGTTCCTCCAGGTCTTCCTGTCCATCAAAGGCATTTACTACCAGGCCGAGGTGCTGGGCCAGCCCATTGTGTGGGTCACACCCTACGCCTTCTCCCACGATGTGAGTATGCACACGGCCAGGCCTGTGTTAGCTCCTCCTGGTTGGTTGGGGGTGAATTGTGTGCTGGGGAATTAGGAACATGAGTGCCTGGCTGTCCCTCTCCTCTGGACCTTACTCATCATGCTTTTGCTTTGAGGAGGAGCCCTGGGGGCACCTCTGTAAACACTGCACTGATACCTCTGAGGTTGAGAGTTCAAACCCACCCAGCTGTTGTGCAGAAGAAAGGCCTGGGGTTCTGATTCTGTAAGGCTTCATCTTAGCAAACCCCAGTAGGGGCAGTTTCTACTCTGGGGGGGTCACTGAGTCTGGGGTGATTTGTGGGTACCTGAAAACAGCAGCCATGTTCCAAGGCTGGTTGTGAGGACTTAGACTCAGGCCCCAGCCCCTATCAAGTTGATTCCTACGCGTGGATGGGATTTCTGAGGCTGTCGATGTTTATGGGAGCTAACATCCTTGTCTTTTTCCCAAGGAACGACTCATAGGTCTAACCACCAACTTATAGTTAGTAGTCAAATGCTTAAGGATTTTTTTTTTAAGTGCTCCCCATTGGGGTGCTGAAGGGATAGTGGGAGCAGCTAATAGGACTGGGCACTGTCCGATTGCCAGCTTGCAGCTGATGCCCTGGGACCCTAGTCCCCAGCCTGCCGCTGGCCAGGAGGGACAGTGTATTGTGGCTGCAGAAGGAGCGGCGCCTAGCAAGTGCTGCTGCTCCTGCTCCTGCTCTGTTGGGAGCCCTGGGAGCTGTTGGCAGGGTCCACTACAAAAAATGCTCGCTGGCCCCGGAACCTGTAACCAGGGTGCTGGCAGCTGCTCCTTGGTGGGCCTGCATGTTCTGTACTTGAGCGTGTAGGTGCCGTGGGCCTGGCTGATGGTCGGTGTGCTGCCAAGATAATCAGAGGCCCTAGGATGAGGTTGGGCCCTCCCTGTGACTGGTGGGAGTACATAGGGCAGGCCCCACTCTGGCCATGGGTGGCTGCGTGTCTTAGGGGGTCTGTCTGTGTAGGTGAAAGCAGTGGTGCTCTCACTCTGGGGAGCAGATTCGGGTATCTGTGGCCTTCCCATCTCCCTCTCCTCTTCCTCTCTCGCCCTGCTGCTTCCTTCCTTCTTTCTCGTAGCCCGTGCTGCTCAGACTTCTCTTTGTGTGACCAGGCCACTGGGGTGGCAGCCTCCTCACAGCTGGCCCTGGGGGAAGGGAGCGGCCACCATGCCTCCTTGCTGGCCAGCTCCCCACTGTGCACCCACAGAGGCCTGGCCTCACCTCCAGCCCCTTGGGGAGGCTAGTGTCTTCCTCGGCTCTGTGGAAAGCAGGACTAGTGTCAGAGGCCTAGCCAGCCCCTCATGTGGAGGTGGGAGTAGGGAAGGCAGACACCTTGTGGCCCCCGGGGTGGAGCTATCTTGGGATTCTTGGTCCAGAGCAGTGGGCCAGTCGAACTCCCTGTGTAGATGGGAACACACTGGCAAGACCAGTTCTTGGGGGGCCAGGTGAGCCCTCTATCCCCTCCCTGCTGGGCAAGCTGGGGCGCCTCTGTGCTGGCATCGCTCCAGGGCTCTCTGGGAGCCGGGGCCCTCAGGCTGTGCCTTTGTTCCTGGCTTCAGATCTGGGTGAATCACCTGGTTCTGTGCGTCCACCCCAAGGCCTCACTGGTGCCCCTGGGTGGGGCCGTCCCCTCCAAAGCCCTATGGCAGGTCTGCTTTTGATCATCTGGTGATCCAGACCCCGGCCCTGTATGAATTACCACTCCCCCTGCACCCCCCACCCCTAACGCCCCTCCTGTGTCCCAGCACCCAACAGATGTGGACTACAGAGTCATGGCCACCTTCACGGAGTTCTACACCACCCTGCTGGGCTTCGTCAACTTCCGCCTCTACCAGTCTCTCAACCTCCACTACCCGCCCAAGGTAAGCCAGCCCAGGACCCCGGGACTGCTCTCTCCTCTCGGGGGCGGTGGGCCTTGGGGGTCCTCTGCTCTCTGACCTTCCCCTGCTTCCAGCTCGAGGGACAGACCGGCACCGAGCTGAAGTCCAGTGAGGGAGCGTACGCGCTGGACTCGGAGAGCTCCATGGAGGTGAGGACACCTGCCAGGGCGCCAGCTGAAGGCTGAAGGGGATCCAAGGTTGCGTGACCGCAGTGGCTCTTGGGGTGGTCACAGGCTTTACCCACTGATGGTTCAGTACTGCCATCACTACGCCCCACCCCTATTTTGCCCTGACAGCCCATTCAGGCCCCTGCTTCTTTCCTGTAGAAGCTGGCGGCCCTCAGTGCCAGCCTGGCTCGAGCGGTGGTGCCAGACGCTGAGGAGGAGGCTGAGGTGGACGAGTTTCCCACTGATGGGGTGAGAGTTCACTGCCTTCCCAAAGGATCTGGGTGGATATGGTAGGGCACTGGGGCTGCCCCCTGGCCTGAGGGATCTGCAAGGATGTTGGGGATGGGACCTGCACCCAGCCCTCCAGTCAGGTGTAGGCCTCGCCTCTCATGGCAGGAGGTGGCGAGCCAGGAGGAGGAGCGCAGGAGGGAGCTGGAGGCGCAGGCGAAGCACAAGAAGCTGTTTGAGGGCCTGAAGTTCTTCCTGAACCGAGAGGTGCCCCGTGAGGCCCTAGCCTTCATCATCAGGTGAGGCAGCTGAGCGCCAGGCAGAATGCTCGTTGGTGCCAGCAGGTGGGTAGGCCACCTTCACAGGCTGCAGCGCTGCATCTGCACAGTGGGGCACACTGTGCCTGAGCATGCAGCACCACAGCCGCTGGCACTTCCCCTAGAAGTCAGGGAGGCTGGGTGAGTGGGCTGGTGGCCGGGGGTCCCAAAGAGCCATGCCCATGGCTGGCAGCTCATGCCAGGCACCCTTGGGTGCTCCCTCTGCCTAGGAGTTTCGGTGGGGCTGTCTCCTGGGACAAATCTGTGTGCATCGGGGCGACATACGACGTCACAGATTCTAGCATCACCCACCAGATTGTCGACAGGCCCGGGCAGCAGACCCCTGTCATCAGCAGGTAGGTCCCTGGCCCTCCCTCTGCCCCCTCTCTGGGCACAGAAGTCTGTAGCAAAGGGTTGTCTGTGACAGGCCTTGACTCCCTGCTCCACCAGGTGTTACGTGCAGCCCCAGTGGCTGTTTGACTCCGTGAACGCCCGGCTTCTCCTCCCCACGGAGAGTTACCTCCCAGGAGTGTCACTGCCCCCACACCTCTCGCCGTTTGTGTCCGAGAAGGAGGGCGATTACATCCCACCTGAGAAGCTGAAGCTGCTGGCCCTGCAGCGGGGCGAGGACCCAGGTGAGTGGGAGCGGTGGGGCTGGGCAGCCAATGGACCAGCCCCTTGCCTACAGAGGTGACACACTCTAGGGGACAAGGCAGTAAAGCCACAACAAAACTTCCCTGGCTTGCTTTCACGCCTAAGAAAAGTGGCAGTTTGTTCCCCTTAATGTTGAGTGCAGTAACCGAGCAAAAGAAGGGTTGTTGGTGGGAGGTAGCGGAGCTCAGGAGTGGGTAGCATGGGGCTTCCTTAGAAGACAGCTTGGTCTCGGGAAGAGAAACCAAAGGGGATTGTAGGAGGGCCGCCCTGGACAGCCGGGGAAGTCCGTGGGGGTGACAGGGACTGTTGCACAGGAGGAATGGGCTTCCGGGCACTCGGACCTTCCCTCGGCTCTTGATAGGAAACCTAAATGAATCCGAAGAGGAGGAGGAGGAGGAAGACGACAAGGAAAGTGAAGAGGAGGAAGGGGGAGAAGAGGAGGACGAGGAGGCTGGTTCGGAAAAGGAAGAGGAGGCCCGCCTGGCAGCCCTGGAGGAACAGAGGATAGAGGGGAAGGTCAGTGGGCTGCTGGGTGGGGGTCTGGAGTCTGGTGGGATTGGGAGAGCCCTGTACCCACAACACCCCCCTGGGTCCTCAGAAGCCCAGGGTGACGGCAGGCACGGTGAAGCTGGAGGATAAGCAGCGGCTGGCCCAGGAGGAGGAGGGCGAGGCCAAGCGGCTGGCCATCATGATGATGAAGAAGAGAGAGAAGTACCTCTACCGCAAGATCATGTTCGGCAAGAAGCGCAAAGTCCGAGAGGTAGGTCCCTGCCGCCTCACAGGCCCCAGGGGGACTTGGAGGGGAGCCCTCTCCTATGGGGCTGCCTGCCTGGCCCTTCCTAGGCCCTCTGGCCCCTGGGCCCCTGCCCGTCCTGGGCCGAGTCTGCTGGGCGGGTTCTGAGGGACAGTCTGAACCTGCTGAATGCAGTGCCAATTGGTTGCATAGCATTCCCACCCCCACCCCCCCACACACACACATACAGCCTGAGCCTGCTCCCTCCCTCCTTACAGGCCAACAAACTGGCTGAGAAGCGGAAAGCCCACGATGAGGCCGTGAGGCGTGAGAAGAAGACCAAGAAGGCAAGGCCTGTGTGAGGGCTGGTGGCCCCAGGCCCCTGATGGCTGGGCTGTGAAGACAGGCTGGATGGAGTGCCCTCTCTTTGCTTCCCCCCACCCCGCCGGCCGGCCAGGGGAGACACTGCGTGTCCAGCCCAATTTGGTGCTCCCAGGAGTCTGGCTTTGAGGGCAGAGAGCTAGCCATGCATTCACCCACTCTGGATTTCTCCAGCCCTCCCCCCATGGTTGGACCCAGGATTCTCAGGGTGCAGGGGTGGAGGCGTTGTTGAGGGAGCGTTCATTAAATGGCTGTAGTTTTGCAGTCAGTTGGATTCTGTGTTTGTGAGTATTCCTGGGGTTGGGGAAGATGTGGGTGGGGACTGGAGCCTTCCTCCCAGAGACACGTGGTGGAAGCTCAGAAGAGAATGTACAGGTTCAGCATGGCCTCACAGCTAGTCAGTGTTGGGTACATACCAACTGGCAGCAGCAAAGTTCAGGGCCAGCACTGGAAGCATCTGGAGCTTGGATCTGGGAAAGCTCAGTTGGGGGCCTGGAGGGGAGGGGGGTTCCCCCTCCCCAGTGTAGCCTTGCAGTCCTTACAGCTCCCCAGAGCTCCTCAGGAAGGAGCCTTCTAGACCTGGGAGGCTTAGTGCTGGTGAGCAGGATCCAGGGTCTCCCAGAGATTTGCCCCTACATGCTCCTTACTTGAGGTAGAAACGTGCCTCGGTGGGACATTGGCTGCAAGAACCTGAGAACAGAGCGCCCTGCGCCCCCAGCTTCAGAGGAGGGGGCTTCCAGGAGCTGGAACAGGATCAGGGCCTCTGGAGCCAGACTCTGCCCCTCGGGACAAAGACACCTCCCAGGCCAGGGGCAGGAGCACTGGGGCAAGGCGGAGGGCAGTCCCATCAAATATGGAAAAATCCCTGGCAGCTTTGCTGATGTGGAATTTTCCCCATTCCAGAGTCGCCCAGTAATGGCGGGG